TGATCCTCCATTCTGAGGCCACCTAAACATTGATTTGTATTTTTCCTTTCTATTTTAAAGCCCAAATCAGTAATTTATCCGTGTCAGGAATGAAAACAAAACCTTGGAAGTTTTTAGATTTGGCCCGCAACGCACCATGATTACCTGCACTTTTCGAGCGCGCGATTTTAAGAAGAAAAACTGTCTTTCTAGGACCCCTAAAGTCCTCTAAAAATATGTTCAGACAGCCCATTCTGATTGGTTTATTTGTCCTCAAGAACAATAGAACAATAGGAGAACCAAAAAGTCTTTAGGGAGAGTAGGAAAGGTAATTGTCACCATGTACTTTTTTTCGGGCAGTTACGGGCGGCACAGGGAAATGGAGTTTTTCACACGGGCGGTTACAGGCGGCACAGGCGTCAATGGGTTAAAATAGATAAAATAAAGGTAGTTTTTTAAAGTTAGTTTTGCTCAATGACTGAACAAAATCGAATTTAATCGTTCGATTAAGTACGATGAAAATATAGTTTGATTTCATTCGATGTGATACCACGGGAAGATTAACCACCTCACTTCATTTCACTTAACGTTTATTGTGCAACCTCTTAGAAGATATAAATGGATGTAGACCATAGTCTGGAACAAGAGTTTCTTCGCTATTTTTGATGGTCACAGTGGAAGAGAGACAGCAAACGTTTCACACTTGCCAGTTGTCGATGTTTTGTTTCTTAAATTTCTCCCTGGTCAAAGGGGCTGAAATTTCCCGTACGAACAGATCACAAAATTGCTCTCGGTAAGCGAGCCAGCCCGGTTACCAGGCTCATATAAAGAGGCCCCAAGTCACTTGATTCGCCAATGTGAATGTGTACATGAAATATGCTCCCATATGTAATGGCGACTACATCGTAAATGTACTTCACACTGTTCTCAAGCTCAGTGAAATCACAATATGTAAGAGCCAAAGGAAAGAATCACTCCTCCTCCTACTCCTCTTCCACATTCAAAGTGGCAGAATGCCCTCTGGGGAACTAAACCTCTGGAAGCTTTAAACCCTAGGGACCTGCTGCAGGCTGACTTCGTCCAGCCTTTCAGGAGACCTTTGCCTCCCACATAACCAAAATGTTAAAAGATAATTCTTAAAAGATCAACAAAGATCGCTTGGGTAAACACGGCCAAACATGGATCAGTAATTGATTGCGATAATCATACAATTTTCCTATAAATAACCAGATGATATATACTGTTTGATTTGATATCTGTAGGCGGATTTTACAAAACAAGGAAAAAATTATGGTATTCATTGCCAACGAGCAGCCCCACAGAGACGCCAGGCTGCGAGGTGGTAGTGTAATAAAGCCACAGAATGAATCTTAAAGCGATGTTAAGGTAGTGCAAGGTAACTTTTAGGACATAATGTAGAATAGAGAATGCATTGTTTTTCGATAAACTTTTTAAGGTCTTTTAAAGTGAAGAGTGAGCATTTTAGCATCTGGCGTTCTCAAAAAGTTAATTCAATGAAATAAAATCAGCGACCACTAGTTGTTTGAGCTGATACAAGTATTGTATTTATAAACTTAATGCTATTAGGTCATGTTGTCTTCTTGGCGCAAACGAATAATGTGCCGCGCATTGCAAAAATTGACATTTTGTTGTGAGACCGGTTTGACACAACGTCAGCCCTTTTTTTCCTGTTTATTTCTCCTCTTCTTTTCGAAACCAAAACATTAAAATAGCCCTTACTATCGATGCTACTAAAATAAACCGTTTAAGTTCACATCAAAATCCACCTTCGATTAATAAAGTTCCGAAGATTTATAGACCGATTTAAAATTCCATCATGCGTTAATAAACTCCAAGGTCTTTAAAAGTGAAGTTTGAGCATTTAAAGTGGGCAGCGTTTTCAAAAAGTGAAATCTACAACTTGAAAAAAGCAGTGAGCTTTACACTACAGAGAACAATGAAAACTCGGACAGTGACATGTAATTGGCAATAGTCTAGAATAGTGGAAGGATTGAATCTAATAAGCGTGATTCGCTTTTCTTTCTGTTGACTTGGTTTTTCCTTCTCTTCATGTCACAAGCTTCCCTTTTGCACACGGATACTAAGGCCGATTGTTTTTGTAAACTATACGGCACAGGTTGTTTTTCTTTGAATAACCTTCCTGTGACAAAAATTAAACTACGGCTTTTTATGTACAGAGTTATAAAATGGTTTTAAGCAGTTTAAGCGGTTTTGCTGACGATAACCAATTTATTTCAAAGGGAACGACGCCAAATTACTATTTATTTATAGTGTTATTTTGACACATTTACTTTTATCTGACTTTTGCATATGTACATATATATATTCTATTTTAGTTCTTATGTACAGTTGATGTGATGTCTTCCAAGATTTTATCAACTTAATAAATGTAGATGTAGATGTAGATAGATAACCTCCTACTTTAACGTTTTGTATCAAACTTATTAATGATATGACAAAATGTACCAAGGAATTGGTTGGTTGCCAATTGCCTAGTCATAATCCTCGTTGTCGATTGAGTCTTCGATGGTGGGGTTACTCAAAATGTTGACATAAAATTGCCGCTGGGGCTCAGGAACAAATTTGGCGAGTTTTTTAAGGTCCTTGACTTTGTCTGACTTGAGTGAAATGTGCTCCGTGTAAAGTCTGGGTGGTGCTGCTGTCTGGTGAGCACCGGGCCTGGTTATTTTTATCTTTCTCCAAGGTTCATCCTTTTGGAATCCAAACCGCACCCAGACTTCTCCAGGGTGGTGCTTCATTGCCATTTTTTCATTCTCTCCTTTTTCCTCACCCCACCCAAAATTCATCCAGTGAATGTCTCAGCAAGACCCTCTCCCTGTCATTGTCCCTTAATACTGGTTTATAATGTTCCTCCGTACAGGGCTTCCAATCATGGAAGTCCTCCTGTCGCATCTTTGTTGCCACAAAGGGTTTCCTTGAGTTTGTTTTTTCAATTATATGAACCCAGTCGTCTGGAACAAAAACTTCTGCTGTTTTTTTTCTTTTTTCAATTTGGGCGAAGTCTCTATCATTTTCCAAGTAAGTGTGCCCTCTCTCTAAAAATTTGTGGTTGATTCGATGGTACATACCACTGTTGGTCAGCTTTGCGTAGAAGCTAATGATGGCGTTATTCTTGTTTTGCCCTTCTCATCTGTCCGAGTAGCTCACCGGCGATCTGAAAGAGGAAATAAACTTTGATTAGTGTTACCTAGTATACCAATCTAATAGAGGTGTCAGCATCCCTCCTGGGATGCACAAGGAGAAATGTACGGCTAAAAGTAAATAATTTGGAGATCCTTGTTATCCAATAACACAGTTAACTTCATGAATGTGAATATATGAAATAGTCATATATGAGAAGGCAAAATCCTTTTTCGCAATATCATTTTTAAGAATATGTTTANCTTATGTACAGTTGATGTGATGTCTTCCAAGATTTTATCAACTTAATAAATGTAGATGTAGATGTAGAACTCTTCTGGTGTTCAGCCTCAAAAGGTTCACAGCAGAGGCTTTTGCGGTACCATTTAGCGTCTTTAGCCGAAAAAAACTGACGGGAGATTATGTCATGTTTTAGAATTGTTAATTTTGTGATCGACTCTGGGAGGAGGGGACCCCCTTGTATGCAGCTTATGGGCTATATAATAGTTACGCAACGCTTTCGAGTGGTATACCGCCAAATATACACCGGCTCTCCTGTATTCTGAATGGCTGTATTTTCTGCATGGTGTAAGTAGGTTTGTGCGGCCCCAAAAGGTATGGTTTCTAAGCTGATCTGAAAATGGGCATAGATTTTGACCATTTGGTCTGATATAGGATGTGTTTTTCACGCTGGCTTTTAAATGGGCATTTTTGACTTTTGATTTTTGAAAATCGCACATTTTGGTCCGAAATAGGGCAAGGGTTTCAAGGTTCGGATCGCACACCCCTAGCAAGACCATTGGAGAGTACCACCCCGGGGATCGACTTGTGAATGGACCAGGGGGAGCTACAGAAGCCGAGACGGATTAGTAATTGTCTACAAAAAACTTGAAGACGAGTTTCAACATTCAATAGATGTTTACGTTTATTTTTGCAAATATACAAAGCAGATTATTATATACTTTCCATCATTACAGACTACTTTATCTATACATTTAGGCTCAACTATTTCGAGCGATACTACTTAACCCGTGAAACAACAGAGTTCGCGTCTATTTAGATCCAAACGAACAGCAAAATAGAAATCGTGACTGTGTATTTCTCCCGTAACTCCTTCGCGGGTTAAGTAAAATCATCCCATGTAAACTTGAAAAGGGCGAAATTTACGATAACAGAAGCAAAACATAGTGAGAACATAAAGAATGATTTACAGTGACTCAACGATAATAAAATGATTCGGTCAGTGTGAATCAACATTACATGCGTCAACTTCACGACTAACGATACTCTTTTGTTTCACTGTGAAACATCGTTATATACCATTACCTTATTTCAATCAAGACTTTAAAGGCAGAAGGTATTAGGGCTACTGCTCAACTCCTGAAAACTGCTTTTAAAAAGGTGGTGTAATCCGTTCAAGCCAATCAATCACAGCACGGGTGATTCTGTTAGACCATTAGCGGACAAAGCCAAAACTAGTTTTGCTTTTCCCGCGCTCGGCTCCGGTGGATGTTTTTCATGGACATCTGATTGGCTCTTTGCGTTCTTCGCCGTGATTGGCTATACGGAATTATACCTTGCCTTCGCTTTATTTAACACTATCATTGCAGAACTGCCGTGTAAAGTAACAATAATTATCGACTCGCTTGTTTACTAGCTGTATTGTACTAGGATACTCTGGAGCACTACTACAGAGTATTTTGTTTTCATCCGCTACGATGACACCAGACAACAGGTCTACACCCCCCGATAAAGTGAAACTGACCAACGAAAGAGTTAGAAATACTGAAATAAGGCATTATTTATCGGGAGTTTTACGAAAACAATATAGTTGATTACAAAACGATAAATAATTGATATGCTGTACTTTTGAGTTTACCTCTTTTCAATGTAAAGTTAACATCAACAATTACAAACGATTCAAAAGAAATTATTTTGCACACATCTTCTCATCGAGTTTTCCCTTGCCAAAACAAAAGAAACAAACTTGGACAAATTCTTACCATGCACTGGCGCTTAGTTATTTTAGACCCTTTTTCGGTAGATTACAATTTCTTTTATATACTTAGATACACTCCCTTGTTTTATGACCCGTCTCGTAAAGGGGCACTTTTTCATGGTGCTAGCTACAAATGATACATTTGACGCCTAATGTGGGAGGACCAGAAAAAGATGCCCCCGTATGGGGGATACGACTGTTTTCCTTTAGATTTGCAACAAAAATGCTCAGCAATTTACGCATTAAATGTCGCGTCCTGCACAACACTTTGCTTAATTATTGAATTACACAAGAAAGGTAGAAAAATATTATTGACACCGAAGCCAGCTCTGGTATCTTTCACAAAAACTATCAAACAAATTATAATAAGCGATATTAAACCCAGCATTCGCCCATCTTTGCAACTTTCGGGAACAAACTGAACTCTGACATAAGAAGATGTATACAATTTTCAAGTATCGTAGTTAAATTTTTTTCTATAATACCAGTCTAGCTGGCTTACTCTTTTGGGTTAACAATAACAATTTTAAAGCTTGAAAATGTACATAATATTTACATTTCGACATTTCCGTAATATATATATCCATATTACTGATATGAAATTTCATGTGTCACATCCGATATGTCAATGCTCTGAAACCCAGTTGTGGACTCCATTGAACAGTCGTCCACAACTTGGCTCCATGTATGCATTTGACTAGTACTAATTTATACCTCTCACGGTAGCTGCCGGTTTTTCCCCATAGTGAGTTCACCCCCACATACATACATACATGCATACACTTTATTTCAACTCGAATTATCAGAGTAGCTCTATTGAGCTAATATCTTCGAGATAGAGATAGAGATAGAGTTCGCCAACCAGATAGAGTTCGCCCCCAACCAGATCAAGTTTGCTCCTAACCAGATTGAGTTTGAAAAGAAAATTTATAGCGAGTTTAGATGGGGGCCAACCTAGTGGGGGTGAACTCACTATGGGGCAAAACCGATAAAATTCCCTCTCACTAATGAGAAGGCTAAAGCTAGGGAGCAAAAAAGGATTTTTACCTCATTGAACCCCTGCTGCAAAAACGTGGGAAAATATGTTCATAACATAATCTCCTCTCCACTGGATCAGCGCAGCTTGAGATGGACAATACTTATTGTCCCCCAATCTGCTGTTCAATGCTTAAGTAATAAATCACAATTGACTGCCTTAATTAGCATGTCACTTCAGCAAAGTTCTCAAAAAAATAATTAAAATAATGAATAAATCTCTCAACATACATCTTGGATATTACTATACTTGCGACAAGCTATTCAAGATATGAACTCACTTTAGTGGTACTCTATGGAATTAGTGTTAACTTAACTTTCTTTTTTGATCAATACATTAACACGACTCTCCTACTTAACAATATATATAACAATTACAAAAAGAAAATATAATGACAAACTTCCAATTCCAAGAAAGATCTTTTGGAATATAAGTTAAATTTAGATTGTTTAAATATAATATTTTAATCACTATTAGTGACATCACAGTTAGAAAGACAACTGTCCTTCTTTTAAATATTTTTGGTTTTGTCTTTGTGTTGTTTTTTTCTTTTTCATTTACTATATCTTATACCAAGAGAAAAGGAGTCTTGGATGGTGCAATCACACTAAGACACTTGACTTAGATGTCAAGACCTCATACACAAAAAGAAAGAAAGCTCAACAAAAATTGGAAGTGGATACTGAATAAATTACAAATAAATTATACCAACAGGGCTCAAAATAATTTTCAGACTGTGAATTTTAGCTCAGTCACATCTTGTTTCTGACCGGTCAAGATATTTTTTAAAAAATTAATATTAGCCTAATTAAACCCACAAATATAATTTGTTTGTTCCAGTCATTGCTAGACCATTTAAAGATTGGCTTAATACAAAAGAACAGCTTAAAACTTAACCAAAGATAGCCATGGCAGGGCTCAGCAGCTCAATGAAGTGGCACGGTGCCAGTGGATTGTTGCCACCTGCCGAAGAAAAAGTATTGAACAAATGCACATTTGATGAAACTTCGAATTTTCGATCGGTATATTGAATTCCATGAGCTGTTTTTTGATGTTCTACAAAGTCTTTACGATGTCCATCAAAACGGAAATGAATCCAAACATGCATCAGATCCTAATTTTGGGCTTCAGAAATAACTTGGTAAACTAATACAGCTGAAGAAGAAGTTTATGTTTCCTCAATTCTCACTCGTGCAAACGCACAACAAATCATTGTGTTACTATGAATACAGCTACAGTTATACAGGTGTTGGGAAGCTTCTTAATGATGTGACTACAATAAAAGAACTTAAGTGTAAGACATAAAAATCTAAACTCTGTTGTAGTCATATTCTAGAGACGTTTTGTTCACAAAGAACTAATGATCACTATCATTCAGTAGATTTTACCACTGAAAGTGGGTAGATTTTGGTCACATGCTAAACAATGACTTGAGAGTGTCTCAAATATAATTCGTGAATAAAATAACTTTACTGATACAGATACTGAAAAGGCCTTCGGGTTTTTTGTTGGTACATAATTATTTTCGTCCATTTTGTAACTGTAAAGTTCTAAATAAGATACTGGGTTTGTGCTCAATGTTACATTTACAGGTTGATGGAAACGAAGCAGACATGTTTTGATGTCTCAGAGTCCCATAGTGTCTAAGCTGGAAATAACTTGACAATCGAGTGAAAAGTTTTGTTTTGGCAACTTGTTCGTCAATTTTTGTGCAGTGAAAGTGACAACTGAAGAGCAATACCTTCGAACTATACGCCAACAAAGAGAGGTGCTTTTTGACAAGTCTAAAGGGTCACAAAAACTGAGCTGACTCTGATCGGATTCCCTTTGCTGTATGGGAAACCTCTGCTGTTCGAAAGGTTGAATTGTTTTGAATTCTGAATTGAAAACCTCTGCTGTCCTAACAGATAAAAACTTTTTTCGAACGGATACCAGAAGTTGTTTGAATGGATGAATACTTTGTCTGACTGGATAACCCCAGTAATTTGAACGGCATTCCTATCGATTTTGAATGCATGACAAACAGCAAACAAACGATTTTCAGCCGTTCGAACAAATACCCGTTGGTGTATGTTTTCATGTGAGAGGTCATAATAAAAAAGAGATTTAAATCTATGATTTACAGTTGAAGATTTAATTGTTTATTCAAGAATGAACATCGTGACCATCTCAACATGACATGACTGGTCAGCATGACTGGCAAGTGAAGTTTTAGGCTGGTCAAGTCACCATTCTGGCTTCACATTGTCGGTTGACCGGCCATTATTTTGAGCCCTGACCAATAACAAGACCATTATCACCTTAACCATGTTTTAAGCAAATTCAACCTTTTCACGAGATCCTCTGTCATCAAAGACTTTAGTGGTCTCGTCATCATCAAAGTCTTCCTCTAGAGGTTTGGTAGTCATATCTTTGTAGTAGCTGATACTAGTTCCTCCGTAGAAACGAGACCGGCTGCGTACATACCAAGTGGCAACAACCACAAGGATGATAACCAGGAGTACAACAATAATAATACCAGCTATCACTCCTGCAGAAAGAGCACTCGTCTCTGATTCATCAGCTGAAAATTAAAATGTTTTATGTTGTTAACGCTTTTAGCACAATTTATATAGTGACTGTGATTCTCCTGGATATCTTCTTCCAAATAAAAAACTGGTATCATTTACAGAGTGTGCAGAAGAAATATGACCAAAAAGTTAGTAGTACTTGTACACCCAAGTAACATGTATATTCTCAGATCCCTGCTCTTTTACATTTTTATAATGTAGCACTTTCAGCATCCTTTCTAACTGAATAAAGGCTTTGGTAAGGGTTTATTATAATGGAGACCTCTGGATCATGGAATATTATATTCACTACCTATCCTAACCACTATTGTTAGCTAACGACAAACTTCACACTTATTTTCTCGGCACAATCTTCATTTATCACCGTGCCCAAGTTTGCAATTTACCCAATCAGAAGCCTAAAGGTTGCCTCAGTGGTATATAATATGGCCGGTGATACCAGCATTCCAGGCTAATATTGTAAATTATTACATGGCTGTCTCACAAGGACTGGGAACTACCGCATTCACAAATTTGATTGGCTGAAATCAATATTGACAATGGTCTAGATTTTAGCATCTAGACCATCATCTAAACCGGTTACATTTTGTGGTGAAAAAGTTGCAAACTGAAATACAAAAATAGTGACTATATTCTTCTAGAAATATCAGTGGAAGTGCCAAAAGGCCTGAAGAGAAAAAAATAGTAAAGAGGATGAGCAAACTTTGGTAGATTTAAGTTCAGCTCATTGCCATTCACAAGCAAAATGTCAGTTAGTACAAACCAGTTCCATTAAACAAATTAAATTTTTCTTGTTTGCCATATAATAAACATCTTATTTACCGAGCTTAGTCGGTCTGTATGGGAGAATCTTGACCTTGGTCATGTGTACAGACCTCACTGCATTTGGTCTGTACTCACCACCTCAGTCAAGATTCTCCCATACCGACCTCCTGCTTGGTTAATAAGAGCTAATTCTTACCTTTTCTAAATTCCACAATTCCTTCAGTTGTGTTATAAGTCCTAGTACTCTTTGTTGCAGTTGGTGCACTAGAAGGTTTGGAGACTGGTATGTTGGATGTGGTAGAGTTTGGAGTTGCATTGGATGGTTTTTTTGAAGGCTTGGACACAGGTACATTGGACCTAGTAGTACCTTGAGTGGTTTTTGCTGTGGATTTAGACACCTGAGCTGTTACTGCAGTTGATGCCAGTGTTGTTGTTTTAGATTCAGATGATTTTGTCCTGGGGGTTGGTTGGACTGTGACAGGAGTTCCAGTACATGTTATGCCATTGTCAGTTGTGTTCATGCCATTAGGGCAGCGGCACGTATGAGACTTGATCTCAATATTGGCCAATAGGCACAAGTGGCTGCATCCACCATTGTTCACTTCACATGGGTTGGTGGCTGAAGACAGAGCATATATTAGAATAATTAAATATTTTAAATGATCCTTGAAAAAAAAAAAATGTTACTTTAGATAATGTTTTACTAACATTCACTGAATAGGAGACTAATTATCTTAATAGTGTTTTTTTCACTTTTTGCCACCTTAGCAAATTTTAAGTTACCCCAGTGTGAATTCTCTACATGTGGTACATTGTGCTAATTATACTTTTTATTTTACAGCTATTTACCAGTACATATGAATGGAATACTTCCAGTGATCATAGATATGTTGAAAGTTTGAATGATTCAGCCCTTTTAATAGACCATTTTTGATATATTAAAATTCTATCTTGGCTCTGAGGCTTGGGGGAATAAAACAAAAGAAATCACATTGAGGTTGAGTGATGAATAATTAACTTATTTTGTTTCATTCCCCCAAGCCTCTGAGCCACATTAGAATTTTAATATATTGAAAATGGCCTATTTCCAGCAACAAACTTCTTGCTAATCATTGCTACCTTTTGGTTGAATCACATGTAAGCAGACTCTAACAGTCTCAACTTAGAATGGTAAATCACCAAACTGTCTCAATGAGAAATACCACATCTGATAAAAGGTTTTTTTATCATTATTATTTTCCTTATTTTACTACACAAAAGAAAATTACAAAAAAGTAGAAAAAGACTTACACTTAAGTGGCAAGGAGACCTAAAGCAAACTAGTAAGAAAGCTTATGGTTACAAGTTAAGGCCTCCTTAAGTTATATAAAGTTGCAAGAATTAAGAAAATACAGGACAACAAAATGCAGACAAATAGAAAGACAATTAGTGGCTGATGATGCCTGGAAATAAGCTGGTGTGTCTTGTAACATGCACAGAATTCTTTTGCTTATTTCCTGAAATAATTACCATAAGTGGCTTTATATACAGTGGCAGAAGGTGCCCATTACTAAAAGCATAACAAGGTAATATCTGAACCCACAGAAACAAGCCGAGTGAGAGGACAAACCTGTAATAGTGCAAGAGGTCAATGGTAATAGAGAGAAGGTCAACAAAAAGTGCCCACAAAGGCATAACTTGGTAGTGTCCAACACACAAACACACAAAAAGAAGACCTGTAAAAAATGAGGTTGTGGATGGTTACAAGATGGCTTACCATTTGGCTGACGAAGAGGATGATACACGTGGATGTCCATATGGGACCACAGGGTGGGCTTGATGTTCTGTTTTTCACCGCCAGTGAATTTGTTTAGCTTTTTGATTCCCTTGCCAAACTTGAACCAATCTGTGTAGTACAAGTGGTTCTCAAACACACCCAGTCCAAATGGGTGATGTGGAGCGATTCTGGCAATGACACGACGGTCTAAACCATTGTACTTGCATGACTCTATCTTCTTTAACCTAAAAGAAGAATCTGTTTGAGTCCACGGAAAAAAACAGAGTCTGGATTCAACCCTAGTGGCACTTCAGGAAAGTGCTTATTTCCAGTATCCTCTATAATCGTTGAAATAGTGATACTTTTTTTCAAATTACCTTCACTTGTCAACATGGGTTCAAATGTAGACAGAAATACCTAAGTCAACTTACTTAGCATCAGCCCAATATAGTCTTTTCAGGGTGTAATCAATTGCCATGCCATTTGCCCAGCCAATCTGATCAGAGACAATCACTTGTCTTGTAGCAGGGTCACCATCCATGCCTGCCTTTTCGATCCTTGGGTGATCCCCCCAGTCAGTCCAAAACAGGTTCCTAAATAACATGGAATACATAACAGAACAGGTATAAGTTACAGTGTGAAATACTCTTGAGTCCATGAGAAGCTGACACCCTTCATTCTCATTTTCCCAATAATTACAAGCTTGAATTACTAAATACTGCAAAATTTTTGATTTGTCACGCCTCACAAAAGACTCCAGAAAACGTTTTTTCTACATGTTTTGTTGGTCTGAAAAACATGACACAAGATTCCCAAAACACTGAAGAATCCCTCCCTAATGTTTTTAGTGATACCATATTTTCCCGTGTACAAGTCGACCTTTCAAGACCCAAAAATCAGTCCAAAAATTCGCCCTTGACTTATACATGGGTCAAAACTTGAGATCCAAGCACCAGTCGAATAATTAGCATAATAATTGTCTTTCAATGTTAACAAACATGAAATAAACAGCAAAACAGTTTACAACGTACGTTAGCTTAGCGATCTGTTTCTCTATACCAGAGCTTCAAGTTAAAATGCATCAACATTTATCTGCTAAATGTTAACCTGAATCTTGTAGACACCTGCTGACTCAATTTTGTCATGAAGCACTGGTATTTTTCCTGCAAATAAAGCTGTACTAAAGCTGCTCGGAGAAAACATCTCCCGTGCTTCGAACTTCTCTGCTTAGTAACCTGGCAGGATACGAGTGTGAGGACTTCTGTACCAGTACTCATCTGATTTCAAGGCTTGGCTACCACATTCCCAACACACACATGGCACTTTGTTTATGGAGTCATTTTAAAAGTCTTGCGCTTCTTTGGTGTCTTATAAAGCCACTTTTAATCTCTTCACACTTAAAAAGGTTCGTTTGAAATCCTTATGTTTGATTTTGTGAGCATTTGACAAAAATTATCATCGAAAAGCCGGCATGCACATGTGTTTCTAAACTGGGCAAAACGCTCGTATACATGCCATAATAAGCTCATTAAAACTGCGTGTTGAAACTTGCTGTGATTTGTTTACATATCTGTGGTAGCTGAAAGATAATTCTAAGAAATACAAGATAAGTTTTCCAAGAAATTCTTACCTGGAAATTAAGAAAATCTAGTTTTTGGCCTCAAAAATTGGGGGTCGACTTATACATGGGATCGAATAATACACTGATAAATACAGTAAGTTTCTTAAGGCTGCATTCTTGAATCTTCAGTCACATTCAAAGAAATGTTTGAGCATGGGAGAAACAATCAAATCCATGACCAGTTGCAACAAAATGGCAGTAAATCCCTATCAACATGTTAATCTCTCTCTTGCTATAGCTTACCCATACAAGGGATCCACGACAATGGCTCTGGGTTCATCTAATCCAGAGCTGAAAAGGGTGAGTCTGTTAGAACCATCAAGTTCGGCCACTTCAATCATGTTGTAGCCTCCATCTGTCCAGTACATTTTTTTGCCGACCCAGTCAATAGCAATGCCATCAGGGGTGTGAACACGGGACACAATCTGGTCGCAGTGAACTACAATAAAGTGATGACACACTGATATTAAATACTGGAGTATTGGGTAAGTCGGTCAGTTTTGACGACCACCATCACATTTATTCTAAATGTAAATACTTCACTTACTGATATTCCACTCCTAGCAGTAAGCAGAATGTTTGTTACATGAACCTAGTTTAACAGCCTTTGCTCTCAAATTTCTATAGTTCAGTGGTAGAGCATCTGGACTAGTAACCAGGTCTCAGGTTCAACTCCTAGCTAGAAAACTTGGAATTCTTTTATCAAGTATTCTTGAGTCATTTTTGACAATATTTAAAGCTAGGGATGCTAGATTACTGTTTGTAGGCTGGGTGGGAGTAGCAAACACACATTTTGAACATGATTGGGACGATTGTCTGTGCAAATTTTAAGGTGCCAAACAACCCCTTTTAGCCGAAGAGTTAAATCCCCTCCTCCATGTTCTCTAGCTCAAACGCAAAGAGAAAAAATAACACTCAGACAGGGGTTTAGTATTTTGAACTACCTGCATCTGATCCTGGGCTTGGAATGTGAGCACGGCAAATCTTCTCTTCTCTCACATCTGTCCAGTACACATAGTTGTTGTAGTAGTCATAGTCAAGACCAACAATACCTTTCTGATCAACGACAACGTCAGTGTACTCGTTGGAGCTAGCATCCAAGGGAAGCTTGCGAATGCTGTGTTGTGTTGAAAACAGCAGGTATGGTGTATGCTCTGTGTGTAGAGGAAAGAAAACAAACTTCATTTGTGATGTGTGATATGCAAACACTGTTTGGTAGTTACGATTATTTAACAAATAAACAACCCACTTAAAACATTTAGAAGTACATGTAGCAGTTTAATATTCTAGTGCCTGCCTAAGTAAGCAAATTTAAAAGCCTAGGCCGACAGGTCTGTGATACTTTCTCTTTGTCTCAAATTATAAAGTGTTACCTAAAGCTCTGCACGTCTTTTTATCAGGCTCCAAACCATAACCTGGTTTACAAGTACACTTGTAGCTTCCTTTTGTGTTGGTACACTGTTGAGTGCACTGTCCATACACATCACACTCATTGATATCTGAAAAATGCAATTTGTAATTCAATGCCATGCACATGTTTTTGGAATAAGATAAGTTTGGTTGGAGGAAAGGGGAAGGATGGAGACTCCCATATCACAAGGTAAATCCCAGATTTTGGTCTCATGCAATTAGGATGTTCAGGATGAAACCCCAATATTTAGGGTGCAGTCAAGGAAATAATTAAAAAACCACTGTCCTTTCCATTTTAAGTGGTGTCTTTTAGGGGTCAAATAAGGCTCTAGCCACACCCAGATTGGCCTCTTTTACGGGTTTAATTCACATTTTACGGCAATTATCCCCAACATTTTCTTTTTTAGTAACTCTGGCATTGTTTAACTGAAGTTAAGTGTTTTCAACAAGTATGGAAGAAACTTCACACCTGAAGTTCCCTAAACAAAGAATCCAAGTTTGAAGTAGCTATGTGACTGTACATATTTTTGGGGGGAACATCACAAAATGATACCAACTGTGTTGGACTTTGGGCATGGAAGTTCGTGAACTTCAAATGACTGACAACGAATCATACAATGATTGACACCTTAACTTAGATCATGTTTTGTCAAGGCATGTTCATGCTTACATGCAGACGATGACAAATTGCTTTCAAAAAAAATGACAACATTTAAGTGACATACCATCACATGTTCTCTTGTTTTCAGCCAAGGTGAAGCCAGTATGGCAAGAGCATTTATAGCCAAATGTTAAATCAGTACAAGTATGTTGGCAGTGGCCATTATGGTCCATACATTCATTAATATCTGAAAAAGTACACAAAAACAGATCACAATAACCACATCAAGCACTGCTTGTTTATAAACAATTCACATATGCTAAGAGGATAATATTAACCAATCTAAGTAATTGCTGTTTAATTATAAATAACACTTCTAAGTATTTTGCAGAACTCAAAAGTGCACTTAACTTACCGCAATTCTGCTCTTCATCCTCTCCATTGGGGCAGTCTTTTCTTCCATTGCAGAGTTTGGTTTTTTCAATGCATAATTGTGTGCTTCCACACTTGAATTCTTCCTCTGTACATGTAACTATTACAGAAAATCAATTATTTACTGTCTTGTTTTCCTTTCTCTTCTTTTCCTCCGAGAATTCAAAATAGTGGGGCTCAACTACAATGAAATACTACCACATATAAAACTTAAGAGTTGGAGGCTCTTCAAAAAAACAAGTTTTAAAAAGTAGTAAAATTAAAACTACCTTTTAAGATTGTGCATGACTGTATGAACCACAGAATATTACCACTGAATGTATATATTACTTAAAACCAAATTAGTTGCCGCTTCTGATTAATTGCTCAAAGCAACTAACCAAGCTATTTACTCACCACAATTTGACTCATCTGAGCCATCCTCACAGTCTGATGTCCCGTCACATTTTTTAGAGCTTAGTATACAACCTCCACCATGACAAGAAAACTGGTCACTGGTGCAGTTTCCAACAGCTAAATCAACAAAAACATGCTACTTGTCAGTTTAATTATGCTCATGTCAAATCACTAACCCACTGAGAGAAAAAAAATATATTTAAATAATATACCTCTTACTAACTGAGTTCGAGGTCTGTACTGTAAGTTACAGACCAAGTTTTTCCCCCTTGATTTATGGCCAAGCTCGAAGCATGAGGGCCATAAATTGAAGGGAGAAAAATGAGGATCCACAAGTTACAGCATGGACTGAGAAGATGAGGTTAGTAAGATATTTATTATATCTCTACAGCGCGTCTGACAGGTTCAGAAACTATTTTTATTTGCATGGAATGGCTTCAAATTTGTGACGCATGTCAAAAGCAAAACAAGTCAATTTCACATCATTGTAACATTGTCAGCATGTGTTAATACACAAGTTAAAGTAAAAGAAAGTTTTAAATTTTTACTTGCTTTGAAAGTTAAGAACACTTGGCAATAATTCACAAAATGTTGTGGCCACAAAAAACAGCTTTAAATTTTAGTGGGCAGTACATTAAAATACAGCCCTTAAATTGACCAATCACAGTGTGCAAATAAGATTGAGAGTATTAATAAATCTTAAGATCCCCTCAATTGTCCCCAGGAGTTTAAATGGGGTACGACAAGTGCATTAACCATTGGCAAGACATACATAGTCATGCCTAATGGCAACCCTGAACTTAAATGGAAGACGTGTTGTTTACTACCTGTAATAATGTGAAATAATTTTAAACCCTATTAAAGGAACCTTGGTCATAACAAGCCAGGTATATATTGTTTTTATTTTTTCTGATGGAATTTATAACAATATACAAGAAAATATTCTTTGACTTTGCGTAAATCATCTATACTTACGGCATCCTTGCTCATCAGATCCATCAGGACAATCATCTTCTCCATCACACCGCCACTGGCCTTGAATGCAGTGTCCCTCAGCACAGTGAAACATTTTTGCCGAGCAAGTGGATGGACGAGATGTTACATTTACACAACCAGCTTCATCTGACCTATCAGGACAGTCTTCATCTCCATCACATCTCCAGCGCCTTGGAATACACTGCTGATTTCCACAAGTAAACTGGTTTGAACTGCAAGTTTTGGAAGCTGACATTGGGAGTGAAAAATTAACAGAAATTGGTGAGGTACAATATATTTAAACCGTGAAACAGAATGCCAGAACAAACTTGGCAAGAACATGTACCTCTCAGATACACAAATGTTATTAAACTAATGCATGTAAATTGTACAATCAATAACCAATTACATGTATATATAGAACAAAAATAATGAAATCATTAACATTTTCTCTTATTACTTAAAACTGCATAATAAACTCAGGTACTTTGTGTGATCTTTGACTGTTATTTCTGGCAAATAAATTATGTATACTTTTAAACCTTACATTTAAAACTAAGCCTAATAAGTTGTAAATTGGTATGTGTGTGGACAACAACTATCACCTTCACTTCAACAGTTTAACTGCCAACAGTTAAATCAATTGGCTATTAAATGTACAACTTTATTGTACATGACAGGTCCACTCACAAAAAGCCCCC